GAACAACATAAACATACACTTTGAGAAATGAAGAACGAAAAAGAGATACAATGAGTTCATTTCATAAAGAAAAAACAAAAAAAAAAAAAAAACTTTACTTGAATATATATATATATATATATATAAAAATAAACTTTTTTTTTTTTTTTTTTTTTTTTTTTTTTTTTTTTTTTTTTTTTTTCCTACGCCTAAGTTACGCCTGCTTCGTTAGCCATGCGTGCTCTTGCAGTCCAGTACAACTTTGCTCTCCGAGTATAATAGCTGTCCATTTCATTGAAGCAACATCTTATGTCCTGTAATGCAGGGCATGTATCCAGATGTTCTCCTGTCATTATGTCTAAGGAACATAGAGGGCATGTCGGGCTATCTTTTACACCGATGCGGTGGAGGTGCTTCTGAAGGAAATCGTGGCCTGTCAGCATTCTAAAGCATGCCACGGCTTGCCCTCTAGGGAGGTCTCTAGGAATCCTGCCACTTTCTTCCAGCAATCCACTCCATCGTTTCCCTTCAATTGTTTGTACATATTTCGCTTTCAGTGAACTTTGGAGGGTCTGCTTTATGATTCTTTTTGTTGAATCCATGGTCAGAGGAATATCGGGTTGGATCATTCCAGAACCTATTCTGGCCAGTTTATCAGCTTTATCATTTCCGTGGAGCCCGCAATGGCCTGGTATCCACTGGAAAGCGACTTCTGTCCCATTTTCCTTTAATTGGTTCAAATATTGATGGCATTTAGGAACATTTGGATTTATACTATATCCATTTTTTAGGGACAAAATGGCTGCCTGTGAGTCAACAAAGAAAGCCACTTTCTTGTCTTTCCGTTCAGTTAACATCTCAAGGCCTAAGAGAATGGCTTTCACTTCCCCTTCAAAGTTTGTGGCTACCTTTCCGACCGGGGCGGCAAGTTGAAACTCCTTTGAATAAACACCAGCTCCGGCATGTTTGCGGGCTTCCAGTGCAGAACCATCTGTATATACATGGAGCCATTCTGTCTCTGGAAATCGTTTTCCGATGGTTTCTAGGGTTATAGCCTTTTGTTCGTAAATTGGTGTTGTATCCTTAGAAACATTCTGAAGAAGATCACAGTGAACAACAAATTGGTTGGTGAATGGAACTTGTGTCAATGACGGGAGTGGCTCCCTTTCAGCTAATTCTAGTCCTTTTCTTTCAATCAAATCTTCCACTGCCTTAGTAAAAGTAATTTGAGTTTTAAGGCGTTCAGGTGCGGATTCAAAGGTATTCCAGTAGTTGATCTTAAGACGTTTTAGCCTTTCATAGAGCGTAATGGCCAGTTGCTCCCGGTGTGTCTCAAGAGGTACTATGCCTGTTTGTAATTCTAGCGCAGATATTGGGGTTGATCTGCTCCCTCCTGTCACGAGTCTAAGGGCTTGATTCTGGATTATGTCGAGCTTGTGTAATATCGCGTCCGAAGCAGTGATAACAAGTTCTGCTATGTTCTAAAAGCATAAAATAGATAGTTTTATTTCTATAAAATAAAATAAAAACTATTTAAAGGGTGAAGTGATCGCGTCCGGACAGTTAGTCCACGTGCCCCCTGGATAACCCGTAAACACGGTAAGTAAACGATCACATTTATCGCCAACTCAGTCCAATATACAAAGCAAAACATGCCCAGGCCCTATCAAAAACGGCCAAATGCTCGCAAGCTTTCTAAAGACTTAGGCAAGGCTCAACTCAAAGCTATCTTTTGGAACGCAGGCGGATTAACCAAAGATAAATTCACCGAATTGAAACGTATAGTGACAGAAAGTGATGTAGACTTATGTGCGATCGTCGAAGCAGGAGCGGCAACTGAAAAACCTGAGATGCACCGAATTCACGGATACCAAACATATTTCCTCTAAAGAGCAAGACAAGTTGCATCTGGTATTATGCTAGCTGTTAAGGCATCCATCGTTACGGATATGAAAATTAGGAAACGGCAAGATGCAAGTGATAAATCCGAGGCTCTGGAAGCAAATTTGTGGTATGGCAAACGGCACTTCCGAATATTCGTAATGTATAACCCTCCTCAAAACAGACCGGACCTCACATGGTTGGAAAGGAACTGGAATGGAGAGAGTATACTATATGGAGACCTGAATGCCCCTTCCACTATATGGGGATATAATAACACTGATACTGTAGGCAGAATATTTGAAGATTTCCTTAACTCAAACCCTGCACAATATATTCGAAATGAGACAAAACGTCCAACTTTTCTTTCTTTCACTGGCAGTACTTCCTGCCCTGATGTTGTATTAGCGCACACCTCAATCTCTGATAACATAAAACATACCCTACTACCAGCTATAGCAGGTTTCGGACACAATATCCTTGTGGTTAACTTTAACCTGAATCAAAATAATAATAGCAAGACCAAAGAACCGCAACTGCCACGATGGAATTTAAAGAAAGGAGACTGGAAGCTTTTCAGAAAATTGACAGATGAACTCATCACTGATAAATTAATCATAAACGGCAACGTAGATAAAACATATACTAATATAAAAGGAAATTTATATAGGTGTGCCCTGAAGACTATTCCCCGAGGAACGGTACGAAAATATCGTCCTTTCTGGAATGAAGAACTGCAAAAGCTAAAAGAAGAAAGAGATGATTTTAGAAAAAGAGCTGAGAGCTCCAAAAATCATGCAATTATAAGTTTACTTAAAAGGAAAACAGCTATATTTAAAAGAAAAGTTATTTCAGCTAAACAAAACTCATTTAGAACGTTCCTACAGAAAATGGACTTTAGAAAAGATGGAGTTAAGGCACATGAATTTCTTTCAAAAATAAATAATAAATCAAACTTAGCAAACCATCCAATAACTTTCGATGGGAAAACAATAAGCAAGCTAAAAGAAATAGCTAACTCCTTCTGCAAACACTATTCAAAAGTAAGCAATTACAAGCCAAAAAAAGAAAACGGAAATCCAGTCACAAACTCCACACATTGTTGTGTAATGAGTGAAGAAGATTATACACTATTCTGGGGAGATATCCAAACGCAAGAACTAAATGATGCTCTTACTAAATCTAAGAAAGGTAAAACCGCAGGCCCAGATGACATACTGTCGGAATTTCTTATACACCTGGGGGATATGGCCAAAGAAACAGTATTAAAATTTTTAAATGATGTCTGGAAAACACATATTCCGTGTGAATGGAGGAAAGCAGAAGTGGTACCAATCTTGAAGAGAGGGAAAAAAGGAGACATGCCGGAAAATTTCAGACCCATTGCATTAACAAGTACTTTCTCCAAGCTCTACGAGAGAATCGTTGCAGAAAGACTTGAGAAATGCATAGAGAAATATAATCTAATATCTTCTAAACAAGCTGGCTTCAAGAAAAATCGAAACACAATTGAACAAGTAGCTCGTCTAACACAAGAAATAAAAAACGGCTTCCAAAGAAAACAGAGCACCCTAGCAATATTCGTAGATTTTAAGACGGCATATGATAGAGTTTGGAGAAAGAAGCTAGTGAGTAAGCTTGTTGACAAGGGAGTCACAGGATATCTGCTCAAGACTATATGTTCTTTCTTACATCAAAGGTTTATAAGGGTGCGATATAAAAACGTTGTCTCGACATATCGCCAAACAAAACAAGGCCTCCCACAAGGCTCGGTGCTGAGTCCCTTCCTGTTTAACATCATGATTGATGATATCACGGAACTCACTGAAACTATTCCGGGTACAAATGCCCTGCTGTACGCAGATGACCTCGTCATTTGGGCAACAAGTAGTGACTTTAAAGGGCTAGAAAATCACATGCAACATGTACTTAAATTACTAGAGAAGTGGGCCAATGAAAACGAGATGATCGTTAATTCCGAAAAGACGGAATTCCAACTTTTTACCCTCTCTACCAAATCACACGAGATCAATTTGAACCATAATAACGAAGAGCTCAAACGCACAGAAGAAGCTACATATCTTGGAGTGAAATTGGATAAAAGACTCTCTTGGAATAAACACATTGAAAAACAAATAGAACAGGCTTCAAAACGACTTTCGTTAATACAGAGGTTAGGTGGCTCAAAATGGGGAGCAACGGGGGATGTTATGGCTCTTACCTACAAGACATAAAAATAAACAGTTACTTATAATTGAATTAAAAAAAAAAATGTATGTATTGAAATTCCTACGTCGATAGTAGGAAATGCATGTACTATCTCTTACCAAGTGTTATGATTATATGATTGCTACACAATACATATATAATATTAATAGTTAGCTGGTATCTGACTGTTTTTGGAACAGGAATTGGAATAGGAGGTTTTTGAATGTGTACAGGGAAGGGGCATGTCGAATTTTGATCGGGAGGAAATTCCAAAAGTTGACAGAGCGGGCTATAAAGGAATTTTGGAATGAGGCAAATCTATGAGAAGGGATGTATAGGTCAGAGGGTCGGGATCTTGTAGTGAGTGAATGGATTGAGGACTTAAATTGGAGAAGGTTGTAGGCATAAGAAGGACGATGATCGGTAATGATTTGATAAAGGAAAGTGCCAAGGAAATATTGTCTTCTTAAGGAGGGGAAGAGCCACCCTAACTCAGTGTAGTGGTGGGAGACACGGGAGTATATATATAGATGCATTAAAAATTTTTTGTATTAGCCCAATTTTGCTAGACAAGAATTGCTTTTCGAAGTAGAGCAGTAAGTGAAAGTTGTGTGATACGCCCACCAGATTTTTTTTTTAGTTTGTATTTGTCGATGCTTTTAAAGTGCTTAATTAATGTGTAATTTCCAGAAAGAAATTTAATCTTGCTATTTTCAACTTCCTATTGTCCATTAAGTATTTGATTTTTTGGTTAACTTTCATTTAAACAAATTACTGATATTTGTTTTTCTTTTGATATTCCTTACTAAAAAATACCTTCCTATTTAGACTTCATTGCTGTAATATTTTATAAAACATACAATTGTGTTTCTTGTCCTCAGAATGTTTCAAATTAATTATTACTAAAAAATAATCACTTTTTTTTTTCTCAGGGACCTTTGTGGAGAACTTTGAGAGGCCAGGGACTTGCTTATCATTATAGCCTGATGGCACGGCCTAATGAATCCAAATTATTCCTTTATTTCTATCGTGCAAGTAATGTGATTGCTGCTTATAAAGAAGCTAGAAATGTTATTGTTAGTTATAAATAAATCTTTAACTATGAAACATTAATTAATTCTTATTAAAAAATTGTTTATAATTACAAAAGATACATTTTGTTTTAGGAAGGAAGGTTAGGAAAAAATGTGATATGGGAAAAAACATTATTTGAATCAGCAAAATCCTCTTTAATCTTTGAAATAGTCCATAGGGAAAAATGCATAGGAGATGTTGTTGGTCAAAGCCTTCTTTCTTATTTTAAGAATGTGGGCCATGATTATAACAGGTAGTTATGAAGCCTTTGTTTTATTTACTAATTCTCATGTTTACTATAGTATACACCTAAATTTTATGAACAGATTTAATGAAAGGTTTTCAATTTGAAGTAACGGTCAATAAAAATATAGTCTAAGTTATAATTAAAAGTACATCATGGTTTGATGGTCACTTTGAAAACTTGTGTTAACGGTAAAAGTGCATATTTAGCATAAATAAGAAGTGAACAACAAATAAGAAGGAAGGAAAACTTAACACCAGCCATAGTCGGTGAGCCGTCAGCTCCTGAGCTTTCGGTAAGTCAAATGGACATTCCTCAAGATGACAAACCAATAATAACAATTCTTGGGAGTTGATAACTGGGCGAAAAAGGTCCATGAGTAGTAATATTAATTATTAAGTAACAAATATTTCACAATAAAAAATACGACAAAATCAGGTTATCTTCACTAGTAATAGATATGACACTTTGTCACAACCAGAGACAACCAATTCTTACTGTTCACCCGGTCCATCTACCAAAATTGACAAAGTTCCTCCTATTTTCATTAATGGTGTTAAAAATTATCCTCACCTTATCTTATTTCTGGAAAACAAAGTTGGCCAAAAATGTTTAAAATTAAATCGACTCTTAGAGGTGTGACAGTTTACCCTGAAACACCTTCTACCTATAGAAAACTTATTACTGCACTTAAAAATGCATCATTTATAATTATTATATATATATATATATATATATATATATATATATATATATATAATATATATAATATATATATCTAAAATATTGAATAACCTTTGTTTTCATAAGCTATAAATTGATTTTTATAACTATTATAATGTTTTAGAAACCTTATAAAGCAAATATCAAATGTTAAAGAAGCAGATATGGAAAAGATTGGATCAAAATATATTGCCCCATTATTAGATATGTCATTGGTTAAAACTACAGCTGTTTGTCATACTTCAAAAGTCTATGAAATCACAAATGGTCTTAATCAGTAAGTTTTTCCTATTTTTTATGATATATTTTAAATTATTTATTAATAATTTAATTTAAAACAAGCTCAATTACTATAATTAATTTTTATTTTTACTGTCACATGCATGGGTCTTCTAACATGATAATGTAAGAGCTATGGTCTTGTCATTAATCCTCCCAGTAAAGCTATGCATCTTTTTTAATTATAAGAACGTATTAGGCTTATTGATGCTTGCAAGATGGCAGTAGGCAATGGTTCTGTGCCTAGGAGAAGGGAGGGCCAAATGAAAGGATATGTTATTTCAAGTAATATACTATTGTATTCGGAGAGAGATTATAGCAATTTATTTATGTAAAAATTGTAATCTCTCTCTGAATATAACCATATTGATAAATTAAATTTTAACATATTAGGTTTAAATTGTAATATAACTCTTCAAACTCAAAATCTCACTAATATTATTTTTTCGTACGATCGAGAATTTCATTATTTTTTTATTAATATATAGTTTTATTGGGTTTTCTTGTTCAAACACCTCTTATCCGTTCAGTTCTTATAAAATTTAAAAATTGTAGATAAATTTTGTGAACAGGTATATAAATGATTAGTTTGTTTTAAATACTTTTATATCATTTTGTTTCTCATAATTGAAGTTTGAAGGTTAATAATATTCCTTTCTTTTATTTATTCATCCTATAAATCTGTTTATTTTGTGATTATTCTCTGAGGCTCCAAAGCCCACATTTCTATCTCTGTACATTATTCTAAACTGACTTGTCCCAGAATAAATAAAGCATTTATTAAAACTATACCCCTCAAAACATAAGAATGGACTTAAATATTAAAGAAATATAAAATATTTTACTCCTGTAATTTGTCGAATGAAGTACTTGATTACTTTGAAAAGTAAGGTAATTCTGAGTAAATGTGAAAATGGAAAGTAATCACAAGAACAGCTGAGTAGTTTTTGTACTCATCAATCATCAAGTGGAGTTGTGATTAGAGTACTGGATACTCGGTCCGTGCGAGATTTAAGTAAAATACTTTTTACTCAGAGTATTTTTTACCAATCTCTACTGGATAATATGCTTAGTTCAAATTTGGACCAAGTTCAATTTTTATTTCTTTTAAACTCTAGTCATACAACTTACCCTTAATCTACCTTGAGGATATTCTATTTACTTTCATCTGTTAGGCTGCCTATATACTTGAGTATTTGCTCTGTTTTGCTCAGATGAATATGGGGCACATCAAATGCATTCACATGCCTCAGTCAGGTCCGAGATTTGATAGTACATCAAAATGAGCGTATTCAAAGCGAAATCAAATATTCTATTTCTATTTTTAATTATTATTGGATTGATATAGGCTGATTCAGAGTAAAAAGTTAGCTAGTTCAGTAATGTAACTGAGTAAAACGAGTGGCATTGAAAATGATAAGTCCACTTAATATTATTTTAAATCAAACATTGATTAAAGTTTATTTATCTGCAAATTACATGCACTTTATAATTTTTTTCTTATATTATTTTATAGAAAGTGGAGTTAGTTAACTGTTGCTCTGACCCATCCTGTCTTACTAGGGGAAGTTATTGACGTGGGGTCACCGATTTCAATGAAATGTTTTCTGGTGATACTAGGACAAAAAATATTTGACATACGTCCTAGGATTCTTATCAACGAGTCATAGGAGCCGAGAAATATAGTATTTTATAAAATTTTAACCTTTTTTTTTACATTATTGTTTTCTGCCTTTGTTTTGGATGGATTTTTAGGTTATAATATATCAATTAGTTTTATTTATTTTTTTGTGTGTAAAATAAGAAAAAATATTGCTGATTATATTAAATGAATTGAAATGTTTAGTATACTACAGAACCAAATGACTAATTCAACGTTTCTATAACTGTTTGAAAGCTGAATTATTGCTCTTCCCAACCACATTAGTAATATAGAGATTCTACCCCTAAAAGAAATAAAAAAGAAAAACTCCTCAAATGTTTTAATTTTATATCTCCACTTTTAATTTGTTCATGGAGGTCTGGTTTGTGCCATGGGGATAGGCGGAGTCGAAAAGTTATTTCAGTTTTTGTGATTTCCGAAAAGAAATAGAAAGCTCAATCCTAGGCAAAACTTTTGAACAAAAATTTTTGATTTTCTAATTTCTATGAAATTTCGCATTTAAGTATTTTTTGAGGTGCGAAATACAAAGCTCAAATTTGTTTCTACTTAAATAAATATCTGTACCAACTTAACTCTTTCAGTCAGTACTAATTGTTTCTGTCAATATTCTACTCATACTGTTGCTGTATGCCAAAAATATAATTTTGTTTAAACCGGTTAGGATATAGAGTAAAATTTTAAGCACAAAACCTGATATTTAATTCAGATTCATTTCTAAAATAAAGCATATATTGTACCTATTATACAGAAAATACACATTCAGGCCCCATTAAATATTTTTTTAGGAATAAATAAAGTTGAGGTTCAGTTTTCAAACCTCAAAAAACACGTAAGTAAGAATTTTCATTGCAATCAATTTTTAAAATGAAAAAATGTTACCCAATATTTTGTCTTCTATTGATTGATCTTACGAGATCTGTGTTTTAGCTTTATTCTAGACATTAATATAACTTTATGCATTTGGTTTTTGTAGTATATTATGCATTTTGATTATATTGTACAATAATTGCAGAGGCATATCACTCCTTCCCGTTGCCTACAAGATAATGACCAATATCCTACTAAATTGGACATATTCGTATTATAAAAGTATAATAGGCAACGTCCACGAGTTCCCGTTAAGTTGGTGAGATTGACAAGATCGTGTACAAATGACCCTAAATGTTGTGTCCTAATACAAGGAGAAATACCTGAAGCTTTTAAAGTTCGAACGGGCTTGCGATGGGGAGATGGAATATCACCGATGTTCAATTTAGCACTAGAAAAGGTGATAACAAGATCACGTGAAAATGGAGGGCTCCACGTTTGAATGAATCATAAAATCCTTGGATACGCAGATGATATAGCTATCCTTGGAAGTAATCAAGAGGACATAGAGAAACTCTAAGATTCTGATAAGAGAGGCAGAGTAAATCGGCCTTCAAGTAAATGGAAACAAAACAAAATATACGATAAACCGAAAATTCCATCCGAATAACAGGATCTGTATAGAAGAGAAATCATTTCTGAGAGTAGAAAAATTCAAATACCTCGGCTCTACAATATCCTCAGTGAATGATATTGTACGGTCAGAAATAGACCCGCATATAATTAGTGCAAATAGAACTTTCTTCTCCCTTTCAAAGGTATTAATATCCCGAAAAATCTCAAGAAATCTCAAATTAAGGGAGTACAATGCTATGATAAAACCAGTTCTAATACACTTGTGAGACTTGGACACTAACCAGCACCCTAGAAGAAAGTATTGAAAGATTTGAGAGAAAGATCCCCGCCACGTTAACCATTAACAAGCAAATGGATAGATAGAATCAATAAAGATGTAATAGAGCTTCGTGCGGTTAACAGGAAAGAAATAGCACAAGACAGGCAGAGATGGAGCAGGTTTGTTAAGCCAGCAAAAGATCTACAAAGTCTGTAATGCTAAAAGAAAAAAAATTATGCATTTTAATTTGTTTAATATAATTAGCAATATGTTTTTTTATTTCTCAGAAAAAATTAAATAAATTGATAACCTAAAAATCCATGCACAGCAAAGACAGAAAACAATAATAAAAAAAATGGGTGATAAATATTCAGGACGCAGTCTTTTTTTTAAAAAAGACATGATATGTAGAACATTCGACTAACTTCCTTCAGTAATAATTTTAAAAATATTAAAATTTTATAAACAATTTTTTTTTTAGGAGTTAGTCGTGGGGTGCGGTCTGATAAATACTAAATTAAAATATAGTAATTATTTTATTTTAATTTTGCCTATAGAATTTTTACATTATACAATACAATTTACAAATTTTTTTCTATGATTCTGGGGTGTATTGATGAGAACCCTTGAACATAAGTCAAATATTTTTCGACCTAGTATCACCAATAAAAGTTTCATTGAAATTGGTGACCCCACATCTGCTCTTGTTAGTCGAATTTATGATATATAATTATTATCATATTATAAAATTATTAACTATTTTTTCTGTTTTTTTTTTTTAGGTTGGGTCTACATTTAAACAGTTTCGCAAATCTAGATCAAAGCTTCTTAAATGATGAATAAAAGCTATAAATCTTTTAAGAATTTAAGCTTTAAAATTAAACTCATCATATTCAGAATTTTCTCCATATTTGTTTTCAATTTTATTTTCTGAGATTTGAGTATCTTTTACAATAAATCATCAAGCTTGTATTTTATGGAGGGAAAAAGAGAAATTAACTTCGCTACATTAAAAATCATGTGCCTTTATATAATCTACCTCATTGCAAATATGGATAAAATTTCAGTTCTTTTTAAAAAAGAAAATTTTCAATTTGTAGGTTCAATCTTTTCTTTTTTAATTGATATGAAAAAAGTTATGCCATTTTTATTTTTCATTGTGTTATTAAAAAAGTGATATTTAGAAAAAAATTTAAATATCTTTTGAGTATTCTTACACAAATTTAAAAAAAAAAAAAATACAATTAAATAAGTAAACTTTAGATATAATCTATTTCTTTACCTTTAAACCAGAAAATTAAATACTTTAGGTTCATTTAACCTAGAACCCAGTTGATCTTATACATTTTGATTGGTATCTATCATATACAGGCATTGACCATGATGCTGCAATACACAAATCTTCGGTCTCAATGTGAAATTGTCAACATAAGTACAAAATGCTTTGATTTAAGGTTATTCTACTATATATTTATTAGCACAGTATATTGGTCAGTCATTAAATTCCAAATACATAAGAAAAGAAAAGAACGCAATATATCATAAGATGGAGAAATCTAATTCTTATTTTATCAGTAATTATAATTAGCAAATAATGAAAATTAATTAAAATAATAAATGGAATCATTATAAAGATATCCCACTTTTTGTGTGATCTTCTTAAGAAAAAAAAAATCGAAGTGTGGTGGCTAGGTAAAAAATGTAGATAATTTATTTTTTTATTGGTATGAAAATTCATATTTGAGTCTTTTTCGAGGTGAGAATTACAAATATCAACTCTGTTTTCGCTTAAAAAGATATTTGAACCTACTTTCTGCCTTCAGTCAGTACAGATTGTTTCAACGTTGTACTCATACTACAGCTCTATGCTAAATATATAGTCATTTTGAAATGAAATGGGCTATAATAGAACTCTCCTAAAGAATATAAACCGAAAATAAGAGCTAAAATAGTAATAGAATCAAAAACATCTTATTGAAAAAATTTCTAATCAATTTACTACATGATTTTTTTTTTTTTTCGTTTTGTAAGGAATTTAGTAATGTTTTAAATAATCATGGGTATCATCAACAAAAAAGCTTGTACATTTGAGTCATTCACAAATAAAGTTTCTTCTCCTTCTTAACTTTTTTCCTGAAATTTCGGAAGAAGTTATGACTATTTTTCCCACCTGAAGGACAAGGAAACTTTCAAAATAATGGTGCAATCTTGGGATTTGATGAAGAATTAACAAAGAAATTGATTACCGACAAAAAAACACCTTTGATAAATAATATAAACTCCTCTCTCAATCATAGGAACCTCAAGTCCATGTCATGAGCCATGTATCCCATGGCAGTACTACAATTGACTGAGGTTGTGTGCCTGAGAACTCTTTTTCATGCCTTATCTTGAAAATGGTACATTTTTGGGCTTGAAAACGCAGTGTTTTTATTAAGAAAAACAAAAGTGGATAGTACGATTCGCTAAAACCCATGAAATTCTGAATACAACAGTATCCCATTCATGGAATTTGACCATGACAGGAGCTTATATTTTGTATAAAACCGATTTCAAGCCTTACTGTAATAAGATATGTGGGGGTTTGTTTTATAGTTGATAGTATATCACTTGCTAGTAGTTATTATTAAAAAAAAACAACCTAAACATTATGAAAATTTAATTTGTTTAACCTTTTTTTGTCTCTCATTTAAAAGTTGAGATTTGGCAGTTATATTATTTCTTCACATGGAGAACAACGGAATATTTTAATGAACAATATTTTTTGAACAGTAAAAAATGGATATCTTCAGTTATGTTTGTCTAATTTTTAAAACACTCCAGTTTTTTTTCAATGGTTCAGGAGAGGAGAAAGTGTTTTTCCTCTTTTAAATAAAATTTAGGAATTAGTTTTTCGGTAGAATTTTGGAGCTTAATGGAAATAGACCAGTTGTTTATTCTATTTACAGCATCCTTTAACTTGTATTACATAGTGCCAGTGTTTTCAGGACAACAGATAATGGCTAAATAATCTGTAAACAATTGTGGCTTGACAACGTTTGGCTCGATGAATCCTTAGTCATTTATTGCCAGATAAAACAGATATGACCAAGGACACAACTCTGAGGGACACTACTTATCTTTCCATAGTATTCGAATAGTTCAAAATCTATTCTAACTATGAAGTGACTGATTAAACAAAATTAGAGAAAATGGAAGGTTATAGGATAGAGCCACAGCATTTATAATTAAATTTTATAGGAAAAATCAGTTAATATGTTTGCAATAAGCAAATGACTGTCTGACAATTCTCTGTTGACTATAATATTGCAGCAGGAAAAAGAGATTTTAGGGTAATGTGTGGACTTTTTATATGTGTCAGATAATGTTATCAAGATATTTATGGAACTTAACAATTTGTCCATGACTACATCTTATATTTATTGAATAAATTTTTGCACATAGACTGCTATTTTTTATATTCCATCAAATTTTCAGGTGTATAGTTTTTCAAAAAATTATCAGCTCTATCAGAATCTTTTTTAATTTTTTTTTACAATCATCATTCATCCAATGAACAAAAATAGTCTTGGTAAACCTGAGGTCATTGGTATTGATGGTTTAGCTGTTTGTATTTGTAATGATTCCACAACTGTTTTTCCGCTTCCTGTTTATTCAGAATTGGATACAAGGAACCAGTATGTGTCCACCTTCCATTCGATACTATAGTCCAGCGTCATTACCATTTGTCAATCTCCTTCCTTTCTTCGACTCCAGGAATGCGATTCTTTCTTCTGCAATCAGTACTATTGGTGGCATCCTGGCCACCACACATGCTGCTTCATATGAAATGCACTTATCTCTCTAGGCACTCCGGTGGAATACGATTACCATTGGTTTTCTATAACCCATAGTATCAAAGGTCCTTTTCCTTATAACAGCTGCGTAGAGTTAAATAGATGGAACGATGCTTGATAGCAACAACCTGCGACTGTGCCTACGTCCATCAACATTTGGCATTAGTCGGCACAGAGTGATGGTCACTCTAGATGCCTCTTTGCTCGCTCGCTCGCTGGATATGCTCCTTGAAGCTGAATCTTACATTGATTCACACCCCAAGGTATGTCAAGAAAGGCTTGGACCTTATCTCCTTTCTCCCCACAGTCAGGGTGATCTATCTCTTTTTCTGCTGCTGTTCAGAAGGGCTTCTTTCTTGTGGTCTATGTACTGCAGTCCCATCGTTGCCAACCAGTTGCAAATTACTTTAATACTTTGGTTAGCCTTTTGCATCACCTCTTCTTTGCATTTGGCCTCAACTACAACTGCTAAGTCATCAGCAAAACCCACTGTTCTGGAACCATCTGGAAGGCTGTGTCTGAGAACACCACCATACATTATGTTCCACAGTAGGAGTTCCAGCACTGAACACTGGGGTATCCTCCTCCCTCCCCCAGTAACTTGAAACCTTGGGTCATCCTCTGTCCCATATATTAGTGTTCTATCCTTAAAGTAGTCACTGACTATCTTCCTAATGCCCAACGGGACTCCCATTGCTTACAGGGCATTCAAGATGCAGCTCTGTTTTGCTGTTAAAGGAATTCTTGACACCCATTATGAGGACAGCACAGTAATACTTCACTCCTCTCTTCCATCTCTTTCCTGTGATATCTTTCCCAGCTGTTTCTGTCACCAAGGTGGATCTCCCTCTGAAAGCTATATGGTAAAATACAGTGTTTTCATATTGTTACTTTAACTTTTTATATATCACCTATCTATATTTTTTAAAAAGGTTTTCACCTGAAATGTTGAGGATCTACATCTAAAAACGTAATATTTCCTAACCTAAAGTTATTTTTTTTTTATGAGTTCCATGATAAATATTGTCCATAAAACTCTAAAATGATAAGATACATATTTCTGGCGATATATATTTGGTGTTTGCAAGTTAATGAGCAAATATGATATTAACGAATACAAATTACATCAAGGAGACCAGTCCAAAAGTAAACAAAAAAAAAAGCTAGAAAGAATGTGAATAATACAGGGGAAAACTAGTAAAAATAAAATACTACTAAATTACAAAACTAAACCAAAAGTAAATAACACGATAGTATAAGAAGATAGCAAGCAGTTCAATGTAGTAAGACCCTTGGTCAGCGCCTCAGTAGTTTTCTGGGTGGATTGTATGCCTTTGTAGCAGTACACTAGCTGGTCCAGGATTTAATTTTGATTGATGGCCTGAACTTCAGGTCGGAACGTCGACAAATGTCAAAATAAATATTATCATTTATTTTTGGCTTCTTATTTGACTGATCACCACAACTATTCTTTTCTTCATTATTCACGACAGTCAACCATTTACCCATCATTATGAATGATTTTTATATTTGTTGTCTTTGCTAATCCCCTTAACTCGATACAATATGCCCAAAACGGTAAGTCTTTTTGTTTTATGTGGTATGTCCATGTTACTCGTTTGTCGAAGTAGAGACCCAAATATCACACTCTATTTGAATGCGGTGTTGTTAAAAAATACTTGGGGCAACGAGTCATGCAGAAGTATAAATGAAATGAAATGAATTGAATCTTGGACTCGTTCATTTTTAGCCGAACAAGCTATGTCATCTAGCTGTTCTTGGAGTACCTGATAAGCTTTAGCTTCATCTTTGTTGGATTTTAGTATTGCCAAGTCATTGGCAAATGTAGCCAACAGAGTTTCTGGGTGTCATATAGGAAAATAGCAGAGTGAAATTCGTTGCCTACAAAAATCAATCTAATTTGACTAATTATTTAGAAGTTAAAAATGGATCAGCCAAATGTACTTGGCTATTTAAACAAAAAAAGAAAGAGAGTTGGTTCCGTTTGTTGCGACTCACTTAATGAAGATATGCCCATTTCCTTGATATGGAAAAACGTCAAAAAGCTTACAAATAGTTTTCACCCGAGATTTAGTCCTCCCAGCAACACTGATTGGGTTTAGGATTTTGCTATGTGTCTCGCTCCTCCTGAATCGGATACCACCTTGCCATCACCCTTCTGTATGGTCAGAACTAGATCAACCGTTCACTTTTAAAGAACTTTCATCCGCAATCAAATCAAGCAGAAATGTCGTACCAGGCCATGATGGTATTAGTCCGTGGTACAGACCCGTTTTTTATGAAATTATTAACATTCGGCTGAAACCTCGTAAATAGCTTCATCTCATCGTAACTGGGGAGTTTTCAATCTGGAGGAGGCAAAATTAGTCTATTTAATTAGTTACTAAAAACGCGTAAATACACATTAACTTTCTATTTCGATCGTAATATAATTTGATCACAAAATCGAGAAAAAAAGGTGACCTTCAAAAATATTGAGACGTTTGGCCTGACCTGCACTCCCAAATTTTCAAAATAACGTTTTTATAGAGGAAAAAAGGTTCAATATTTTTGCAGGCCACCCTTTTTATCGATTTTGTGATCAAATTATCTTACGATCCAAGTAGAAAGCAAATAGGTATTTACGAGTTTTTAGTACCTAATAAAATAGACGAAGTTTGCCCTTCTCCAGATCGAAAACGCCCCAATGCAGAGAATTTTCGTAAACAAAGTATTTATAGGTTACGATGAGATGAAGCTATTTACAGAATTTCAGGCGGATGTTAATAATTTCGTAAAAAGGGATCTGTGCCAAGGAATATATACTATACATAATGCTTAAAAAACTTCCTGATTGAGCTAAACGGTATCTCCTTGCATTTTTCAATAATGTTTGGATTAACGATTTGACAGAATCTGATTGGTGACTTCAGATTATTTGTCACATTCATAAACCTGGCAAGGTTTTTGACAAGGCTGAGTCTTTCAGACCCATAGCTCTTTCTTCTGTATTGCCTAAGACATATGAAAGAATAATTAAGGCCCGCCTTGAGTGGTGGTTGGAAAAACCCAGAAAGTATCCATTTTGCAATACAGCTTCTGAAGAGGTCATAGACAATTGACGTTCTTGCTTCGCTTACTTCTGACATCCACACTAGCTTTACTTCTAGCAAGTATCTCTTTACCGTATTCATAAATTTATCAAACGCTTTTAACTGCGGTAATATCAACCTTATGCAAGAACTTATGGTTCCTACCAGAATTGTCATTGCGGTCAGAAACTTGTTGCTCAATAGGAGATTAATTGTGCGCTTCGACAACATTTCTATAGGCCCAAGGAGTGTTCATGTAGGCTTACCACAAGAGGCAGTCTTAAGTCCAATATTATTTTCTGTCTATATATCCTCTCTTAAATATTTGTTCTCGCCTAAAATCAAAACGTTAAAATTTGCAAATGACATTACTATCTATATTTTCCACAAAGGGCTGGATCACCATCACAATTTTCTCTCATAAGCATAGTTCAATAATCGGTAACATACAATTAGGTTGATTTGCTTTTAATATCGTAGAAAAATTACTGGATGTTCTGCTGGACCAGAAACTGCTGTGGTGTGACCATATTAATCTCTTACGCGATTCATGCGAAAAAGTGTTGAATAGAATAAGATGTGTCTCAAAAGTTCGCTATGGGTTCCATCCAAGTATATCCCTTCTCCTTTATAAGGCGTTTATGCTATCAAGATTGCATTATGGTTCTCAATCATGTGGCGATGCAGCAAAATCTTATTTAGATAAGATGCAATATAAATCACTTAGGGTTTGTATAGGAGCAATGTGGTCTATCCCAACAAATGCCCTTCAGGTGGAAGCTAGAGAAGCCCCGTTGAAATTTCTTAGGAAACTAATTTCAGGAAGATCCATTTTCATCGAGAATTACTATAATAGATCACCCAACAGTCAGGCACGTCAAGCAACAAGCTCAGCTTGTAAATTTCCATAGTTTTTGTCAAAAAAAGAAACCACTTCTATTAGTCAGCAATAAGACAAGACTTGCTATTTTAAACCTTTCTATTCCTTTATCTCCTTCCCATCCCAGATACCATTCTAATGTTTTCATCTCAGTCAAATTTATTTTGCTATTCCAGATCTCAATCAAAGTATCAAATTGGTCAGTTTCTCCTTCCTATACAAAAGAAGCGACCTTCAATGGGTTGACATTATACACTGATAGCTGCAAGCAAGGATTTGAAGCTGGTTCAGCTTTGTTTAATCGATTAGAAGATACGTCAGAGTCGTTAAAGCTACTAGGGATAGCTTTCATATTTACCGCCTACGTATAGCAATACTCCAGGCGTGTGATTTTTTTTCTCTGATAGTCAAAGTGTGGTTGCCTCTATCAAGAATTTTCACAGCTCTTCTCATAGATAGATAGATAGATAGAAAAATAATTTTATTCTGGGACACAGTCCCTTGAGAATAACAAAATTAAAAGATCACATCTGGCCAAAATAAAATCAATCGAAAAAAATAAATAATGTAAAAAAAATATAAGGTAAACATTCTATATACAAAAAACGAAACTATATACAAAACAATTAATACTATGACAAGGCACTTAAAGCTATTTGCACTGATAGACTCGTATACACTTTTGAGAAAATAATAAAGAATTAAAATTAAAAATTTATCAATGAATTTGTATGTATCAAATTCTCTATTAAAATCAGCTCGAATGGTTAGCAACTATCTGACTATTCTTGGGATAGGAATTGGAATAGGAGGGTTTTGAATTTGGATATGGATGGGGAATGTCGAATTTTGATTGGGAGGGAATTCCAGAAATTGACATAGCGAACAACAAAGGAATTTTGGAATGAGGCAGATCTGTGAAAAGGCATGTAAAGGTTAGAAGGTCGAGATCTTGTGGACAGGGAATGGACTGAGGATTTGAACTGGAGAAGGTTGAAGGCGTAAGAAGGACGATGGCTGTTGATGATTTGGTAGAGGAACGTACCTAGGAAATATTGTCTTCGGAAGGAGGGGAAAAGCCACTTTAACTCAGTGTAGTGGTGAGAAACATGGGAGTATCTTTGGGCCCCGATCACAAATCTTACGCAGCTGTTCATTAGTCTTTTCAGTCTATCACGGAGCTCCACAGAGAGGCCAGCATACACCACACAGCTATAGTTAAAGTGGGGGGAAATGAGAGAGGAAACTAGGAGTCTACGCGTATGTTGAGGTAGGAGATTGTCCGTCGAGAGATATGAGAAATATGGTGATTCCAAAGGAGGTTTTGATGCTATTATATCTGCTTCTCATGCTATTATATCTGAAATATTTAATTTACTATGCCAATTAGATAATAGGAGCATAAATGCACATATTATTTGGATAAAAAAGCATATTGTTAATGTATTTATCGACATGATTGACAAGCTTGTTTAGAGAAGCGGCTTTTACCGGTAATCGTCGACTGTATGTATCAGCGAGAGATACTAAGGACCACTTAAATAGATAGTGGCAAAATAAGTACTCTACCAACGTGAAAGGGCGTTATTAAAAAGCTGCCCAACTTCAAATCTCACGATTTTCTTGGTTCCGATCCTTCAAAGCTTCCCGAAAATTCCTAACTTCCATATCACGCCTTCGCCTCAACCACAATAGCCTACCATCCCATCTCTTTAAAATATACATCTTGGACTCTCCTTATCGCTCCTTCGACCATTCCTCAACAGCCGATGAAAACCATGTTCTCCTTTCCTATCCAAATACATCCACTGACCGTGATTCTTTCTACCATTTTCTCATCAAAAACATCCCCCTCCCAACAACAATTCCTGCTATCCTCACAATAACTCATAGACCAAAACCTATTTACGCCTTATATAACCTTATCACTTCTAATAACATAAACTGTTAACCATATGAATTGGCTAAACAAGTTTTGTTCATCAGCGAATACTAAAATGCGAATGAGTTTCGCATTTGCAAATTGCATATTTGATAATTCGTGATTAAAACAAAAATTTCCAGGGCATACTGAATATGCATATCAGTCTGTTAGTGCGAAAGATCGTATTTAAAAATTGAGTGTTTTACAGGAAAGCATAAAAACTAATAATTTCTTAATGATTTATTAGTATACTTTAATATTTTATTGCCCTCTAACATTTTCCAATGTAGAGACTATTTATATCAGTTACAGACTAAAAAATGTCAAATATAGAATAAAATTGAAAATTTGTACATACCACCTTTTGCACTAACAGTAGTTATATACATGATAGGTACGTTTTCACATTTAAAATGAATGGAACAAAAATCCATAGAAATAATTCAACTTTTTATTTGTTCGGAGTTAACAAGACCAATACTCTTCTTCAGTCAGAAAAAATAAAAGCTGGAACTTAAAAATATAAGTGAAGTTTTCACAACTTTGATTTTTAAGGATGAAATCTGAGACTACGGCGAGCTGGTTGAACTTCTATAGAAATAAACAAAATCATAAATAAGATTACTTTTTTTTTTCTTAAAATTCCTGCCTTCATTTATTCCTTCAAACCTTCAATGTTTGATAATACGTTATTATAATAGTTGATTATAATCTGGAATTTCACTTTCAATGTAACATTTCAATTTTTTTTTTTTCTAAAAAACTAGGTTAACTAAACATCTGATAAGGTTTGGATGTATTAATACTATAAATTAAATAATATTTTTTTATTATTAAAACACTTTATTCAGAAATATTACAATTTGTCACAGTTTAAGGACACTTATAATAGAGTTCAGAGATTGCATTCATACCGTATATACAAAAATATAAATAAATAAAGTAATAACAAAAGAATAAGAAGAAAGAACAAAAGAGTAAAGAAAAAAAATATATATATATACACATAAGTAAATAAAAATAGAAATAAAAGTAAAACAAACACCTTATATAAAACATACCTATATACATTATTTACAATTTGCCAGGTGATCTCCGAACCAATCCTGTCCCCTCCACATGTGGAGGGAAAAGGGAGGCTTAGGAGATCCCTACGCTTCTCCCTCAGCCACTTCACTGGTATTGTAAACCAGCGGAGGATGAGTAAGAGCGCTACAGCCACAGACACTCATGACTTGAGTGGAGAATCTGGCCATTGCTAGAACTCCAAAATATCCATATTTACAAAAGGTCTCGTGGCCACTGCCGCTTTAACCTACGAAGGGGATTGTAGGGATGAGTGGTGCTTGATAGGGATTGTACAACGGGATTTGGGTGATGAGAAAGGTTCTGGTGAAATTTGGAAAATTTGGCTGGGATAAGATCAAGAATAAATGGGATATTAAGGTCATGGTGTAGGGTTTTATTGGTTACATAGAAGGGAGCATTGACTATTTTACGGAGGACTTTAGACTGAAAGGATTGAATGCGTTTGATGTTAGAAAATTTGGCTGTTCCCCATAGTTCTAGTCCGTACGTCCAGATGGGTTTCAGTATTGTCTTGTAGATCAGTAATTTGTTTTCACCAGAAAGTTTAGATTTTCTATTCAGTAGTCTATATAGCTGGCCATATCGTCTGTTAAGTTCCTGTCTTTTAAGTATAGTATGTGGATTCCATGTTAGTCGTCTGTCTAAGAGAAAGCCAAGATACCGGACTGTATCTGAGAAAGGAAGCTGGATGGAGTTAAAATAAACTGGTGGGCAGGTATTACGCCGAAGGGTGAAGGTAATGTGTTTACATTTAGATTCGTTTACCTTAATGCGCCATTTCTTACACCAGTGTTCAATCAGGAAGAGGTGCCTTTGTAAGTTTGCGGACGCTGTTTCAGGATCTGAGTTGGAAGAAAGGATAGCAGTGTCATCAGCGAAAGTTGCCAGGAGGGTATCGGGATGGACAGGAATATCAGCGGTAAAGAGAATGTAAAGGATGGGGCCCAAGACGCTGCCTTGAGGAACGCCAGCCTCAATTGAGTAACAGTCGGAGAATTCGGTGCCACAGCGAACTCGGAAGGAGCGGTCGGAAAGATAGGATCGGAGTACTAGGTATAAGGACTGTGGTAGATGGGTTTTAAGCTTGAAGAGTAATCCGGCGTGCCATACCCGGTCAAAAGCTTGCGCTATGTCCAGAAATGCACCCGAGCAATACTGCTTGCTTTCTAGGGTTGAGGATATATGGTCAACAACTCGGAGTCTTTGTTGGACAGTGGAATGTTGGGAACGAAATCCGAATTGATGAGTAGGAAGGTTATAGGATTCAATTATAGGTAGGATTCGTTTAAGTAGGATCTTTTCAAAAATTTTTGAGAGGATTGGGAGTAGGCTAATTGGTCTATAGGATGCTGTATTGTTGGAAGGTTTGCCTGGTTTCAAGAAGAGGACGATGGTGGAATGTTTCCATAAAAGAGGGAAGTGGGTAGTTCGTAGGATGCAATTGTATATATATGTAAGAAATATGATGGCTTTAGATGGAAGTTGTCGAAGGATCTGTGGGGTTAGAAGGTCATATCCAGGAGATTTGCGAGGAGTGATTTTCCGTAAAAGGTATTTGAACTCAGAGGGATTAACAGCTTTAGGTGGTAAGGAGAGTGGGATAGGTATTGAGAGGGATTCTTCTACTTTTACTGTGTGGCTGGGATGGGATTCTGGATGAGGAGCGAAAGTATAGGAAAGGTGTTTGGCAAATTCCTCGGCTTTATCTTCATCAGATGCTGCCCAGGAGCCATCATCTCGTCGAAGAGGGTGGGAAATATGATGGGATTTGAGGATTTTTCTGGTGATATTCCAAAGGGAATTATCATGAGCAGAGAGTGTGGTGAGGTAGGAATTGAATGATTGGGATCTGAAGGTGGCTAATTCTTGTTTTAATTTTTTACAGTGATAATTGTAGGAGTGGCGGTCGGCTGGATGTCTGGTACGTTGCCATAATAATCTGGCACGGCGTTTTATGTGGATTAGGTCAAGGAGGTGTTGAGGTAAATTATGTTTCTTAAGGATTTTTGAGGAGTGATCAGGGGAGGAAGCAGTCCAGACTGCTTCTTGAATTTTGGTAGTGAAGGAATATACTGCATTGTCCAGGTCTTCAGGGGTTTTCAGGGTTACTCTGAGGTCAATTTTATCGGAGAGGATTTGATGAATGAGTTTCCAGTTAACTGGGCCTCTGATGAAGGACGGAGGAGAGGGTTTAGGAATAGGAGCTAGTGATACTTGGAGTATTAATGGGCTGTGGGCTGAGGAAAGCTCGTCAAGACGGGCAACGGAATGGTTGAGAGCACCTAAACCATTATGGATAAAGAAATCGAGGATATCGGGATTACGGTTAGGATCAGTGGGCCAGTAGGTAGGTGAGTTGGGTGGAAGAAGGGTAAAATTCTGGGAATTGAGTACAGACAGCAATGTTCGACCACGAGAATTCGTGGTTCTTGAACCCCATTGTTGATGCTTGGCGTTTAAGTCTGCACCCAAGATGAAATGATGTCCTAAGGAAATGAGGAAGGGACTAAATTGGATATTGGAGATGGATTGGTTTGGAGGGCAATACGCTGATGCAACGGTAATAGGAAAGGAGAAGGTTTTGATTACGACTGCGGTGGATTGTAGGAAATCGTGTGTAGGCAGTGGGAGTAGGTGATGGGAGAGGGATTGGTGCACAATGACTGCAGTACCGGCATGTGCTCTACCGTCAGGATGGTCGGTACGGTAAGTTATGTATTGTGGTATTTTTAGGAGCTGTTTTTTAGTCAGTCGAGTTTCCGTTATTAGGGCTACGTCTACGTTCTTGTCTTGTAGTAAGGCTGTTAGTTCGTGTAAGTGATTTCTAACACCATTCGCATTCCAAAGGAGAATGGATATGGGTTTGATGGAAGTCATTTAAGGATTTTTTAAAGGAGGGATAAGGTGAGATACTAGGTTAGTGAGAAGTGATATCTAAATAATATTGACGATTTTACACGTTTTTAGGTGTTCATTAGACAATTTTACATATTTTGGATTTTTACTGCACGATTTTGCACAGTTTGAGTTTGTTGGCATAGGTCAAAATTAAAATTTTAATTTTTTTGAGGTACAAATTAGGTACTAAATATTGGCATAGGTTTTAACTCGAAATTCCATAGGTGCCGGGCCATCATATCCCTGGCTCGGCACTTTTATGAGCGTTATATCTCCGGTTCCTGAGGGGTACAAATTCTAATTTTTGAGGTACAAATTAGGTACTAAATATTGGCATAGGTTTCAACTCGAAATGCCATAGGTGCCGGGCCAGCGACCTGGACCTTTTTCAATGCTTCCCTACCTTCGGTAGTGAGGAAGCGAAATACTTCCGCTTCCATATCAGGAAATGTATTATTTGACTCGCCTAAAGTTTGAAAACTGCGCGTTCGATTTGACTCAAACTTGTAAGACATTTGGAGAATAGTATGGAAAGTACCTAATATCAATTTCATTGAATTCCATTTTATAATCAAAATTAATATAAATAATTGTCAACGATATAATGGCTGTGAAATGTGGAAGGCATTGATCATATGAAGTGGGAGTTAAGTTAAGACAATATTTTTATGGAATTATAAAATTTTAGGTTTTATTCAAAAAGTTAATTTATACAGCATTGTTTGGTCGATTCCAAACGTTATTGGCATGACACTTACTGCCGTTACCTAGATTTCGTTTAATTTTCAGTAAATTTAAATTAATTTTTACTCTGAGTTTGTAAAAATAAGAAAACATCTTATTTTTTATTGAGTTTATTTCTAACAAGTTTAAACAGCTCGTTGTGGTCTCGATTTTCTGTGAAAATATCAAAGTTTTATGAACTTCACGAATATTTTTATATTCCAGTTTAATTTCAGTTTTGTTCTGATTGAAGAAACATATTGATCTCGTTTACTCCGAACAAACAAAATGTTGAATTTTTTCAATGGGTTTTTTGTTCCATCCATTTTACGAGTAAAAACATAAGTATACATTTCTACTGTTAGTGTAAAAGGTCTTAGGTAAAAATTTTCAACTTTTATTCTATTTGTGCTAAAGGTGACATTTTGTAATTTGTAGTAATTAACTCATATTATAAACTGTCTGATATGAAATAAATTAGCAGAGGGAAATAAAATATGAAATTATACTAATTAATCATAAATAAATAGTTTTTGCTCTCCTGTAAAACACTCAATTTTAACATATGACCTTTTACACTGAAAGTAGTGATATGCATGTTCAGTGTTTACAAGAATAATCAAATATGCAATCTGCTAATGCAGAACTCTTCCGCATTTTAGTATTCGCTGACGAACAAAACTCGTGGATATCGAACCCGTATATTTTGAGGGATGACGGAATTTCCGAAAATAAATTCTCCCAGAGATTTTATTCTCATATGAAAAAATGTAGACCTTGTAACATACATATTTTGTATCCAATGAAAACGGTGAGGAAGCTATACCACTAGAGGATCCAGCCGAGGGGCGAAAGAAAAGGAATTTCCTGTGTGTAAAGTAAGATTAGAAACATAGAAGGGAGCGTTTACAATTTTCCGGAGCAGTTTTGACTGGAACGAATGAATGATTTTTATGAAGAGAAGAATAGTTGGGGTTATCAGTCAAATAAGAATGCAAAAATAAATGATAATATTTATTTTCACATTTGCCGACGTTTAGATCTGACGTTCAGGGCTGACTGCAAAGATGATGCAGTCAATTTAATTTTTATTGATGGCCTGAACTTCAGGTCGAAACGTCGGCAAATGTCAAAATCAATATTATCATTTATTTTTGCCTTCTTATTTGACTGATCACCCCAACTATTCTTCTCTTCATTATTCACGACGGTCAACCATTTACCCACCATTACGAATGATTTTTATATTTGATGTCTTTGCTGATCCCCTTAGCTCGATACAATATGTCCAAAACGGTTTATTGGGGACTTTGTAAATAGTTTATTTATTAGTTATCAATCATTCAATCTGTCAAGTAGCCTCTAGAAAGAAGTCCGTATCGCTGATTAGGTCATTTTGTTTTATGTGGTATGTCCATGTCACTCGTTTGTCCAAGTAGAGCCCCAAATATCACACTCTATTTGAATGCGGTGTTGTTAAAAAATAGTTGTGGCAAAGAGTCATGCCGAAGTATAAATGAAATGAAATGAATTGAATCTTGGACTCGTTCATTTTTAGCCGAACAAGCTATGTCATCTAGGTGTTCTTGGAGTACCTGATAAGCTTTAGCTTCATCTTTGTTGGATTTTAGTATTGCCAAGTCATTGGCAAATGTATCCAACAAAGTTTCTGGGTGTCATATAGGAAAATAGCAGAGTGAAATTCGTTGCCTACAAACGTCAACCTAATTTGACTTATTATTTAGAAGTTAAAAATGCATCAGTCAAATGTACTTGGCTATTTAAACAAAAAAAGAAAGAGAGTTGGTTCCGTTTGTTGCGACTCACTTAATGAAGATATGCCCATTTCCTTGTTATGGAAAAACGTCAAAAAGCTTACAAATAGTTTTCATCCGAGATTTAGTCCTCCCAGCAACACTGATAGGGTTGAGGATTTTGCTATGTGTCTCGCTCCTCCTTCAGCTCCTGAATCGGATACCACCTTGCCATCAACCTTCTGTATGGTCAGAACTAGATCAACCGTTCACTTTTAAAGAACTTTCATCCGCAATCAAATCAAGCAGAAATGTCGTACCATGTCATGATGCTATTAGTCCGTGGTACAGACCCGTTTTTTATGAAATTATTAACATTCGGCTGAAACCTCGTAAATAGCTTCATCTCATGATGATTTTTCATGTAAGCCATGGTTGAATAGGAAGTGATGACAAAAAACTATTTAATTTAAGTAATTAATGACTGCTTCACTGTAAGCTAGACAAAATTTACTTTAAATAAAAATATAGATTGCTTATGTTAAAACATTTTAAAGAGGACTTTTGAGCGGCTAAATTCAGATAAGGAGTGGGGGGGGGGGAGATTGGTAGTCCTGGTGGAAAGGGTAGAGATGGGGGAAGCACCTGGTACAGAGGTGCGCCCCATCTGAGAAAATTCCTGAATTCACCATTGAGCTATACTGAGCTTACTTGACATTGTTTTGATTAGTGAGGTGAGCGGAATGATATTCTGGCTCCCTTTCTTCAATTGACTTCGCACCCAATGTCTTAGCCAATGTCGGTGTATATTAGAGCTAGATAATTAATAGAGTGTCAAACAAGTTTAATTACGTAATGTTACAGAACAAATTGAATATAAATATTTAACTACTGATGAAACATTGAGGGGGGATCACAAATTATATTCACTCATTACTAGAACTATTAAACATTACTTAACCCTTACTATTTCAATTTTGAATGTTTGTATATATATATATGTATATATACACACATATATATACACATATATATACATACATACACATTAATGTTAGTCAATATTAGTTTTAATTTTTTTAAACTAGTTCTGTGTCCTAGAAGGTGTGTATAATTCGACTAGTGATCTAGCGGAAGGTTTCATCGGGTGCTAACTCTTGTTTATACTGTTATTTTCCGTTAGATATCTTTTCGTTGTTGATTCCTGTTGCGTGGTGGGATGCTTTAGCCGTCCGCAATTCTTCAATGTTAACACGCTTGTCATAGTAATTTTATATTGACATAGTATGAAATAAATAAAATTGTATTATTCAGTTGTCGTTAAATATAACATATTAGCTGAATTATGACATGAATTTAGTTTTATGTGGTTTGTTTCCTTTTGCAGTATAATTTGGTGACATTATGACTATTATGGACATAGCTGTAGTAAAAACTAATCAGACCATGTAAGAATTGTTGTATATATTACTGTAATATCTGTTGTAAAATGTAAATCTCCTAATTTTGTTTTTTCTTAAGTAATTTTTCTGACATCGGTGAAGATGAAACTGCAAGAGTCTTTTCAGAAAATGTAACAATAGTCTCTCGTTCTGGTGGTCATGTTAATGGGAGTTCTAAAGTAAAACTTAGTAATGTTGTTGACTATTCATGGGAAGAAAAATTCTACCCAGGACAGCTTTTAGCGGTTCATATGTCAGGAAACTATGTTGCTTACAGCATTAAAGGTAATATTTATTTGAATCAATTTGTGATGTTTCAACAATTAATTTAATATTAAAAACTGCATATGCTATATTCATTTACTGGGTATATGGTAGGCTAAGGGTCTTCTATGGATGAAATTGTAAGACTAATGGTATTAGTTCATAACTGTCATATCTTGTTGGCAGGTGGGTCAAGAACATTCTGATCACATATGTGATATATGTGGTCTCTGCTGTTTATTGTTGTGACATTAGCTATTACCTCTACCATTCATTCCATATCTGAAACAGCTGCTTTTTGTTATATATATATATATATATATATATATATATATATATATATATATATATATATATATGTGTATATATATATATATATACATATATATATATATATATATATATATATATACACAATTATCTATTCTAATTATAAGAACTTAGCCTTACAGAACATGAGGTTTTCTCATTTAGCTGTCCAATAAAAACTAAGAAAAGGAGTAGGAATAATTTGGGGGATTTGATGGCGCAAGTTCAGCTATCAAAATTTTTTAGAGAAGCACATTTCGGTGGGGTTATGAATTTTCAGAATGAAAAGTTCCATACTAAGGGGCAAGAGGAAAACAGGTCAGAAGGCAACAAGTGTAATTGTATACGATCTACGATTTTTAAAATTATATCTTCGCTTGCTCTGTTTTTAAGAAAAGGTGAGCATTGAAATATCTAGGAGTGGGAGGAATAGGTTCTTGCCCCATTGACCTTGGAGGAGATGGGCACCTCTGATTTGGGCTTTTGACAAGTTGGCTGGAAGTAAGATGTAGGTGAAGATTTCTGCTCGCTCTTTTATCATTTCACTGCTTCAGTTGTAATTAAAAGCATTTGGTCAAATTGGTTCTTGCGTAATAACTGTTTATTTATCTGTCTGTGTAAAAATATTGAAATTTAGAAGAAATATATGCTTATAAAGAGCAATAGATTTAGTAGACTACCACATGAATAAAATAAAATATTTGAGGTTCAAAACGAAAAATCATATGAAACTGAAATTTCGCATTTGAGCTTTTTATAAGCTTGGACATTTTCATCAAAATCGTTAAACCAGAAGGAGTACTTCCTTATCAATACCCAACTTTTATAAAGTGGGTACCCCTTCTTTCTATTTAGCTTCCCCTAAAGAGTATTGAACCCAAAACCCTTCATGGGTTGTATTTTTTTTATTGTGTTGGTATTATTTAATATTTGATTGTATAGATTACAGCGATATAAAATATAAAATTTGTATTTTTTTTCTTTTGGTTGGCGCTACAGACCATTAAGATCTTTGACCACGGGATATGGGTCTGCTAGATCACTTCCCGATTTTAAATACACGGGGGAGTGGGGTCATCAGTCCTACGCCCGGTCAACGTGAGTTGCCTCCAGTAGCCTGACGGATCTTACATACCCGGGGTGAAGGAGAATTTCGGGCAGCATGGCTTTCCCTGGTAGACGGTCACCCATCTAAGTACTAACCACGCTCAGCGTTGCTTAACTTTAATAACCTATTGCAAGCTCCTTAGCCCGCAAGGCTACCCCATCCCCCAAATTTGTATATATAAGGGTAATTAAACCAATAAAAATATTCATGATGAACTGTAAAAAATAAAGCTTCTAAAATGTTTTCTTTAACTTCCCCCTTGTCTGAAAATACTTATTTCTACTAAGAAGATGGGGTGGTAAGTGAAAGTTGTGTGATGTGCGCACCAGATTTGTTTGTTATACTTTTCTCCTTTGCTTGTGATAATCCAAATGTACAATATTATACCCAACTTTTCTATTTCCTTTTATTATTTCATTTTATGTGTTAATTTTAGCCTACAGTTTTGTTTTGTCTGTTATTCGTTCCTTTTCTTAGTTTTTATTTTTTCTCAATTTTGAAGGAAATGCATGATGTAAAGACTTTGTTATATTCAAATAATATTTGAACGGTATTTGTTGTTGTGTAAATACACACGTATATATATATATATTCCTCATTATATTTTTACATCTAAATAAATTTATTAAATAGCTAAAATACATTCCTTGTAAAGAAATAAAAATGGTAAGTGTGCGACTTCCTTTGTAAAAACTATATGTAATTATACAATGTTATATTACTCAGCACAATATTGTTATACATCTGCCCAGAGAAGGGGAAACAAGAGTACACTAAGATACCCATTATTTGTTGAAGAATTTTTTTTTATTTAACATTTGTTTATAATATAACGTTTCTTTTTCACTTTTCTTTTATTTTTACTTATTCCTTTTACGCTTCATTAAAAAAAAAAAAAAAATGCATTTCTGGTTTAGAAATGTGAAAAGGTAATAAAAAAAAATAGTTTATGACCCTCACTTTCTAGCTAGTTTCCCTGTGTTTAACAAGTTACAGAATTATAAGAAATTAAACACATCGTTTAGCTTCTGTATTTAACACAATTCAATGGAAACACATGAAATTTATTGTTTGATGGAATTTGAATTTATTGTGCTTAATAGTTTGAAAAAGTATAGGAGTCATGATTATCGTGTTAGAAATGTAAAAATTGTGGTTTTTATTTTTTTTTTATCAATATATATTTTATAGATAGAAATTAACCTGGTGTGCATCACAGATGTGGAAGCTTATTTGAAAATGCTATGATAGTGAATAATTGAAATTATCAATAAGAATACTGTATGTTTTTCATTCAGTGATATGACAATAAAAAAATTTTTTTTTTGTCTACATTTGTTCAATATATGTTTAAGTTCCATTAAAGGTGTTTATTATAACAAGGAGGTAATGTATAAAATTGGTTCATAATTCAAAAGTATAAGTGTGTTTTCCACCTTAAATTGTGGATTATTTATTTTTAGGGAAATTTGAGCTTGTTCAGTACAACATTAAAGTACTTTAAAATTTCTATAAATATGGCCCTATACATGTTATTTATAAAATCAATGGTTACGGAGATATTTATGAGGTTATATTTATTGTATTTCCATTTTAAGTAAAAATTGCCCCAAACTGTGAAATTAATGTTGTTGATAGTAGATGATACGTTTTTCAAGTTTAATTCGCTTTTTAAACATTTTCGATTGTTCAGATTTTCTTTGTTTTGATGATTCTAAAAATTCATTGATGACAGCATTGTATTCAATATCAATACCAATGCCTAGTTCTTTTAATTCTGGCATTGATCCCTCACTCTCTCCCTTGGTCCGGAAAAACCCATATAGAAGAAAAGGCGAGGCCAAAAATATATATATATAATACAGAGCTTGGAGCAATCCATCAGGAAGCCTTAACAATGAATGACTAAAAAAGAGATGGGTAAATCTAATCAACAAAAATGCTGCAGGGAATTTAAATTTTGTAATTTTTGTAAGTTAATCACGTTTTATGTTCAATATAAAGTAATAATTAAAATAATGTTTGATTTAGGTAACAACCGATTACTTCATAATAAACTAGATAAAATTTATATTAAATGCTAGTAAATTTTATCTTTTATAAAAGGTAATTTTAAGCAGTCAAACTATGGTAAGTTCGGTTTTCATATAATCCAGGATTCTTAACGATTTTTTTTTATAACCCTCCAACTAGACTGAATATAGTATGCTTTTAGAAAAACATCCTTGCCCGATGAGCTTTGAATCTATATTAATTAAGTTGAAGCTTGTCACAGATTAAGTTGAGATTCATCTCTAATTGAGTATAAAAATTGTTAGTATGGTAAAATTATGATTATTATTTTACTCAATTAGAGATGAATCTCAACTTACTCTTTCATAACCCTCAACTTAACTAATACAAGTTTTATTTGTTTTACTATGAAGTAATCGGTTGTAACCTAAATTAAACATCTTTTAGTTATTGCTTTATATTGAACATAAAATGTCGACTTAAAAATTACAAAATTTAAGTTCCCTGGTTCTCTCTATGAAATCAGACATGACTTTTTATTAACTTTTTTTGTAGGTTTTAAGGTCTGCTATCACATAATACCAATTATGTGAAATCAATGCCAATCTAAACTTCTTATAAATATCATGAAATTTCCCATTGATTGATTTTAAATACAATGCTGTTGTCAATGACTTTTTAGAATCATCAAAACGAAAAAAATTCAAATTATAATTTGAACCATCAAAAATCTTTTTAAAAAACGAATTAAACTTCAATATGGTATCATATGTTATGAACGTCAATTTGATAGTATAGGGCAATCTTTGCTTTAAGTGGAAATACAATAAATATAATCTCATAAATATTTCCGTAACCATTGATTTTATCATAAAAATGTGTAGGATCATTTTTATAGACATTTTAAAGTACCTTAATGTTGTTCTAAACTAGCTTTGCGAAAAACCTCATAGTTTTTTAAATGTTCTCAATAAAACTAAAAATATAGCAGTTTCCTGTACTTCTCCTCCTTCCCCCATCAAAACCCAATGCGGGATTCTTTGCGACTTTTTACCAGTTATTATGAGGAATGTAATAAAAAATTGCTGACAAATTTCATGTTTATTTTTTTAATGTTGGAGTCAAACCCTAATTTTACTGGACTAAGTACCTAAGCGATGTCGGATGATTAAAAACAAAAAAGCCTCTAAATTTAGTATAAATTAAAAATCATGGGAACCTATTAAAGGGATCTTTGGCTGTTACCCTAATAGGTATAATTAGTGAGAAAAAAATTCTCAGTTCAAATTTTAAATATAAACTTATCGCAAGCATTACAAATCAAATTATTTCACATTTTTTAAAAATGAATTTCTTTCTTGTTGATAGGCATAATTTTTTATTTAGTTCAGAGGGAAATTACAAACACTGGTTGATGAAATTTATTTCAAACTTGGAATAATAAGAAAGCTTGTAAATCAAAATCAAGATGGAACTAAAACATTGAGATAAATACTTTTAAAATGTTAAGACATCTTAAAAGTCAGTGAATAAAATTATATTTTTGTCTTCAGTTTCTTATATTTAAGCAGCTATTTTTTTTTAAATTGATACAAAGTATATAACCTGTGTATTTTCAATTAATATAAAAATAATTTTTTGGTTCATTCTTGTTAGTAAAGAATGTAAGTTAATATTTCAATATTTCTATTATTTTTTTTTTTTCCATCCAACTAAATCTAAAAAAATTTCTAATAACAATTATTCCTGTGTAGTAAATATATCAGCAACATTTTAAGATAGCAAGTTCAGAAATTAAGAAAAAATTGAGATGAAACTATTTGACTTTAAAATGTACAAGCAGCAAAGCTAATGAACAGTAGATTACTATATACATTTAAATTTTTACATTTAATTATTTCACTTTCATTTTTCAACGATCAATATATAAAATATTTTAGCCATAGTTTAATTAATTTTTTGATTTATACTTGAAAAACAAGTTCAAATTTCTTGGAACCATATATATGAGCTAGCAGATACAATGAGTACCCCTCCATAGTGAACATATCTCCTCCACAATGCTAAAGGTGAGAAGGCAACCAGTTGTAACACTTAGGAACTAGTACTGGTTTAACTTCTCATCATGTTTAGATTACATGTAGCGATATGAATGAAAAGGCTGAGTTGATATCCATATAAAAAACAAAGAATTGTGTTGAAATCAAATATGTTCTAGTCATTCCTCATAGACTGCAGATGTGCAGGCACCCTCTTGCACCATAGGCAGTTGATGTAAAGCTGTAGCGATCGTAATGATCGTGGATCCTGTGACCAATCATGCTCTGAGGTCAGGTAAGAATTTACCTGATCAAATTGGTGTGACAGGACATTGCCAGAGTCCTGTTGGCGCTTTGGGTGGATGGCAAGAGTACTTGCACTGCTCGCTGTACGACAGCAGTGTTCAGCTGGTTGTGACTGAGTTCCGGCCAGTCATCTGGTTTTAGTGTATTGATGAGCGGTTGAAAGCTATCATAGTAGACCTGCCCCTCTCCTTGATCACTGGCGGTGTGGTCATATCTTGAGGATGCTACCACATGGTGACATTCATAACTAATAGTTGTGAAGGAAGTGGAGTTAAGGCCTTCTGGCTAGATTCCACTTATTTAATCTAAACAGTATCTGTTTGGCTATAATAGGTTGGTTACTTGTAGGATAAGCACCTTTTATACTTGAAATGACCAGGAAGGAAAAGAAAAAAAAGGTTTTGCAAGTCTATTTTTAAGTTTCTTTTTATTATTATTATATTTTTTTTCATATTTCTAATTTAAAACTCAAGAAACCATTATTTATTGAAACCCATAACCTGATGATAAAAAGGGTTTAGATTTAAAAGTAAATATATATATTTTTGCTAAGGAATGTTCTGTTAAAATCAGTAATAAAAATAAATTCTCAAAAGTATGTTGAATTAAAAATGAATTTATATATTTTAGGTGCTAACTATGCTGTTAGAGTGGTGAATAGAGAAACTGCAAAACGTGCATTAATTAAAGGAACTGGCGCCATGGTCGAAGATTTAGCTTTTGCTTTTATTCCTAGTCAAACCACATTAGCTTGTGTAGATGAAACTGGTGCAGTTTATGTTCATAATATTTTTGAAGACTCAAGAGATATTTCTACTACACTAATTTTACATATTTTACAGGTACTTGATTTTTTTTTAGAAAGTATTTGAAAGGAGAGCATATATATTTTATTATAGGTACTCCTCACTTTACGACTTATCTGATTAATGACTACTCCCACTTATGACCATTATAATTTCTTGCAGTAATTCGGCAGATGGTGACACAAAATTTGAAAGTTAATGCATTAGTACTCAACAGATACAGTGTTTCTGCTCTGTTTCTTAAGTATTTTTAATTGTTTCTTTTTAAAATAAAAGTAGTTAAAATAAAGTAAAATAGCCGACACATACATGCAGGCACCCATGTTTGTTTTTTCATGCAGAGTGGAGAAAATTTTTGTATTTATTCTGAGCTTATTGTGTAAAAAAACCTCTACTCAATTAATATGGACTTATATTACACCAGGAAGTGTTTCGAAAAGTAGAGTATTAGATAAAGTAGGAAACTAATAAAAAAAATTGTAAATAATTTCTGATTTTAGGGAAAAACAGTTCTGTGTTGTGTAATTTAGCTGCTTCAAAATGTTTTTCCAATGACAAATTCAAATTTTTTTAGGAAACGTTTTTTAGTTAATGATGTTGCAATTGGGGGATAAACTAACTTGAGTATTTTTTTAATAATCACTTTGTATTCAACTAAAAATCATGATTTATTTATTTTTCTATCAGCTCTCTAAATATTTCCTATTATTATCTGTATTTATGTTTATGTATTACTACCCAAATTTATGTCATTCAATTTTTATTATTGAAATCCATAGAATTTTTTAATTTCTGAATAGTCAGGACTATTATTTGGATTTATGCTGTAGATCGAAGCTGTGTCTGTCCCACGGCGAGTTTTTTGGTGCCCATATATACCAGATGAGCAGGATCTTCTAGAACAAGATCCTTATACTGATGAAACTTCATTATTACTAGCTGTCACTAGAGACAACAAGGTATTATTGTATTTTTTTTTATCTTTACTGCTTCCTGCTGGTATGGTTTTTGTTCATTCTTGGAAAAAATCGCTTTCTTACTTATACTTAACACTTTATGCATTTATTTTTTGTGAAACTAATGCCCACCAATATAATCTTTTAAAGAGTTCATACTAAATTTTATAATGAGTTTTTTTATTTAAATTTTTAAAATATAATTTAGTTTTATGATGAGATTTATTTAAATCAATGCTCTACATCAGCTTTGCCATGCCACACTAGCGTGGTGGTAGGTTAACTTGGCTGTGCTGCGATGATTTTGTCAAGAATATTTGGATTAATAAATTTTTGCAGTTTCCTGTTTTTTGTGACTGACTAAAAACTAAACTAATAATTAATCAATTATATAGAAATCTTTTATTATTCTGAAAAGTAAACTGAAGCACTATGTATTCAAATTTGAGAGGACATTATGACTGAAGAAAAAAAGTCCCAAGAAACTCAACTTGAGCGAAATCATAGGCTGATTGTTGGATTTCAGTTTAAAAAAAACTTTCACATTTCTGACAGCTTTATGGGAATCTAGTTCTCTCTTCTACTACATATAAGTGCACCAAACATTTTTTGATTCTGATTCTAATCAAAAATGATAAATGGTCTTAGGGATTATGACCATGAACTTCGGGTACTTAGCAATTTATCATGTTAAGCCAAGTATTTAGCTTATATGTTCATTAAATTGAGCTAAAATATCTCATTAATGAATTAATTGTTACGTTTAAATTTAAAGAGAATTTTTTTTTACATGTAATATATGTTTATTTTAACTGTATATGTTTGTTCCTGTATTCATATACAATTCAAATTGCATTGTACAAATCTATTTTATTGTATTTTTTTATTATTAAAAAGGTATATATATATTATTATAAAATATGAATTTCTAGTTTTACTTTTGGTGTGGTGCAGATTTGTCAAGACATCGGTATGCTTTGGAAAATAAAAGGATATGGATTTACTTCACTAAAAAATAATTCTAATGTCATTAAAAGATTTTTTTATTCTTATTTGTTAGTTTTTTTTTCAAGTATATTTTGGCAAATTTTCAAGTTCTTATGGTTTTGATTACATTTGGTTTTATTTGAGATTATTATATTATTGTTTTTGTTTTATTTAGATTGAAGTATGGCATGTTGGTAATGCATCGAGCTATGCCAATGGCCCAGTAAAGGCTGATACATCCGTTGGAGCATGTGTCCAGATATGTGCTCATGAGTCTACCATTGTGGATGCTGCATTTTCTCCCGATGGAACAGCAATAGCTACTGCATCAGTCGATGGAGAGTGTAAATTTTTTCAGGTTATTTTTTATTCTTTCTTTTTATAAAGGCAGTTATTAATTACTCATAATTAATCATGCTCATGCACCAGATAGAACTAAGTATTTAAAATGATATCACATAAGGAAAGGAATTATATAAAACTAAATCGATTTAAAATTATATAAGTGATGCTAATAATTATGCTATAAGATTTTAAAAAAGTGCAATAGTTCGACATAAAAAACTTGGAGTCCATATGTCAGCTAAAACAGCCTGGGGAAAATTAACTGTTTTATAAAACTAATTAGAGAGGTAAACACTAATTTGGTAAAATGAAATATAATATAGAAAAAAAAGTCGATAAAATTCAAGACTCTTAAAAAAAAAGGAACCAACAGGAAGAGGGAACAAGAGGTTCAGTAAACAATGAAAGAGCATTATTATTACTAAAGTGGGATGATTGTTTTTATTTTAATGAGTTTATTCTTACTTTTTAAAAATAAAAAATAAACAACGCGGTTTAAGGACTTCATATACGGATGGAAGATGATGGTGGGGCCCGCTCACTTCCGTATTGGTGCCTGCAGAAGAAGAGGACAAGTGCCAGGAAGACCTCCAGATTCTGGAAGCTTGGCGGAAAGAAGAAGGAAGAAGATAGAACAGAAGAACTGTTTGCACATCTAGTAGTAGTGTGTTATTAAGTATTCATGCCTAAAACACACTATCGTAAACACGCATATTGCCATTGTGGCATGGGAGGGTGGAACAAATAAATAAAAATAAATAATACTTTTTAAAACTTTTATGTGGATTGTTGTGGTTTGGAGCTGTTCTAAGTGCACGTATGACTGTTATTGATTAATTTAGGGAATTTAAAATTGTTTAGAAGTTCTGGATTGAATTGAATTCTTTTAAGATTAGAAATTGTGATTAAATTTTACATGTGAGGAAAAATCAGAAGTTATGCTTCAAAAACAACTAGTGATCATTGATAATTTTTAGTGTTTACCAGACTATGGCAAAGCCTCACAAATAGTTTTTTGTTTTGATTGTCCGCTAAAAGGTTTGTGATGATTATTAATTGGGATGGCTCACATTGTTCAGTGAAATTCCGTGAATGTTATCAAAGAATTTGAGCTGAAAAACACTGACATATGTTCCTGTAAAATGTGTTTAATCGATTTCCTAAATGTTATGTTATGATTTTTGGAGCAAGCGGCTGGATCAATATTTAAGTTTGATGACTCAGATTATTTAGTGAGATCTAGTGAGTGTTTTTAAACAATTTAAGCTAAAAATACCGACTCTAGTATTAAAATAATTTGTTTAATCTATTTGCTAAAAGGAATAAAACGATTTTTTAATGAACAGCTGGACAGAATTTTATATTCATGGCTCGAATTATTCGGTGATATCTCATGAGTGTTTTGAAACAATTTGGCTTTAAAACACGGCGAATCATTGTATAAAATGTGTTTTAATGAATCTGCTAAAAGTTATGTAATGATTTATTTAATGAACATCTGGAACTATTTTTAGGTTTGATGACCTAAATTATTAAATTCCAGTGAAATCCAATCAGTGTTTTGAAACAATTTTAGTTCCAAACTCTGACAAATGATAGCAAAAAATGTATTTAATCAGTCCATTAAAAGTTATGTTATGACGATTTTTAAGTTTGATTCTTCAAATTACTCCATGAGATATCCCTTGAGTGTTTTGAAACACTTTTATCTCCCAAGTACTGAAAAACTATCACCACATATATTATTAATACATTAATATACATATTACAGGAAGGCTTGAAATCGGTTTTGTACCAAATATAAGCTCCTATCATGCTCAAATACCATGAATGGTGTATCGTTGGATTCAGAAGTTCACGGGGGGTTAGCGATTCGTTTTCTTCACTTTTGTTTTTCTTTCTAAAATAAATAAAATCGATTCAAACATTTTGCTAGGCTTCAATACCAGAACGGTGGTAAGTCTGTAAGGGGACAAATGGGGATTTGAAAATTTTGATGCGTACAGCAAGACTCCTGGATAGTTCCTTCGGAAATTTAGTAATTTCCAGGTTTCCATTCACACAATCTTACGTTCATTGTAGTACTGTCATTGGATACATGTCTCATTTCGTTGACTTGAGGCCCCTATGATCGAGAGAGGAGGAGTTTATATTATTTATCGATGGTGTTTTTGATCGGCAGGCCACATCATCATCAATTCTTCACCTAATCCTAAGATTGAGCCACCAATTTTGAAGGCTTCCTTCTCTTTCAGACAGGCAAGATAGTCTAATCACCCCAAAAATTCAGGCAAACAAGTTATGAAAGAAAAGAAACTATACCAGACCCTGGATTTTGAAGCCCTAAAATGTATTGTTATCGAGATAAATATTTATTTTTGTCTAAAGCCCCTTCAATGTTATAAAGTAAATTTCTAACTAAACATTTTTGGTAAATTATGAAGCTTCACTACTTGTGTTTGTTGAATGGACTATCATGATAATTAAATATTACGTACATGAATGAACATGTTTTGCTTATACTTCGAATGCATTGGGTGGAAGGATAGCTATGTATGTAATATGAGAGTTGTCACTGAGGTATACAAGTAAAAATTTTGCATATTGTCTTTTTCAATACTATATTAGTCTCTTTTTTTCAAAGGTTCATACAGTGAAGTATGGGAAGTGATGAAAATATTAAAAGTACTATATAAGCTTAAAATAATCATACATAAAAGTAGTTTACATAAATATGTAAACAATTTTTTTCCTTTTTTTAAAGATATTTTTTAATATTTAGTTCTTTGAAATATATAAGTAAAAATATTGTGTTCTATGTTTTCAAAATATTTTTTTTAGAAATAAAAAAAACGGTTTTCAAATCAACTATTGGTTGTGTGAATAAGTTTCCGCTATTTGTTATCTAGAGAATTTTTGTTTAACTACGTGCATCTGGCAACACTGAAACCAATTTTATTCAAGAGCTAATCTTATATATTGGAGTTATCAGTCTATTTGAAATCTTCAAAATGTATACAACGTTTTTCATATCAATTTGAACATAGCGAATTTCGTACCCTCTAAACCGTTTTTAGCAGAGAATTTTTGTTACACTATTCTTTTTTTTTCAAAAGCAGACTGCAGATGAAGTATATAAAATTCTTGTGAAAACTACCGGCAATCATGCTATATGAGAAAGAACCTTCAGAGAATGGTTTCAACGCTTTGAAAACAATGATTTTGATCTCAGAAATGATGACCGTTGTGCCGACCCCCAAAAAAGTTTGAAGATGAAGATTTGGATGTGTTACTTCGTGAAGATCCATGCAAGAAATTACAGAATCATTGGCCGTTGATTGAATAACAGTTGCCAGGCATTTAAAAGTTTTAGAAATGGTTCAAAAGCAAGGACACTGGGTATCGTATTTACTTGCTAACAACTCTTCAATGACAAAAAAAGAAACGTATCGTAGCTGTTGATGAAAAGTGGATACGCTACGACAACCCAAAGCAAAAAAAAAATCACAGTACTGTCCTGATATGCCTCAACGACAACAAAGCCGAACATTCATGGTTGTATTGCCAAATTATGATGGTTGGAAAGCAAATTATTCTCACACGCTGTATATGTTGACCATTATTCAGCAATCATACACTATTACGATGTAATGTTTATTTTATAACCTACATTTTGATTAAGTTGTAGATCTTCATCAGGGAAGGTCATAACATTGTGTGATTGTTGACCACACCCTCTCTCCCCCACCAACTATTCCTTCTAATATATGTTCATTCATTATTAATTACAGGTTTATATGCAAAGTGAGGGAGAGCCAACCTGTTTACATAGGTGGAAACCACATGGTGGCAAACCAGTTACTACTCTGTTTTTTTTAGATGATCATAAATCTGGAAATCCTGAGTAAGTATACTTACAAAAAGTAACTCTATTTTAAAGTAATATTTGTTTATATTAAATTTTATATATATTTAATGTTTTATATGAACTTAAATCCATAACTTGCCTGCAGTTAATTGTTACCAGGGAAACAAGATCATTCTGTGATAGGAGAGGTAACTCCTCCCTTTCGACTTATTCAATTAACATGGTTAACAATATAACTCTAAATCATATGTTATTTTCAATTTTGACATAAATGTGAACATTTGTTGAATATGGTTTGACTGAAAACAATTACTTGATTAATAAATTTATTTTTCGTGAAAATTATGTATGTTTCATTTTTCTATAAATGTGAAACTTTGTTCAGAAAAATCTAAACAAAAATAAGAATTAATAAATAAATGGTAATATCATTATGTTGTTCCTTTCACTACATATCAGTTTCAAAATAGGATGAATGTTGTTTCTCTGTTCTACAGAATTTTCGTCAAAAAACCTCAACATATTTTCTTTTTCTTTTAAAGAAGAATCTGAAGACTTAGTACAGTCATTTGGTAGTTTTACCTGAAAAATTTTCCATGAGTTTTGAAAATGGGTAATTTTATAGCTTTTAATGTGCTCTTTCCGAATTTCAACTTTGCCACCTCCTATCTTTCCCACTCGTATCGCCATATTGAAAAAATGGTGCCTAAAAACAGTTTTTTGACAATATTTCCTTTCCGATTCAATCCATAATTAAAACATTTATAGAAAAATGAAACTAGAGCACAATTTATGTAATTACTTTTTTTAATTTTATTAAAATTAGTAGTTATGCCATATGAGCGCTTGTGGTGTATACTTTGCGAGTGTAGTTTAATACACATTTTGGCCGAAAAACTCATTTTCTCCTTTAAGATATAGTAAGCAGAACATTTTTTTATCATAGTACTCTCAGTAGTCCTAATCCACATTAGGACTACTGAATAGTGAAAAGCGATTCACTATTCCAAAATTTAGAGCACTCTCCTTCGCTTCGCTGTTCTTGATGGACCAGGTGTTGCGAGTTCATTTAATCTGTAGGTCAGACCCACTGCCATGCACCCTCCTCCACATCCTATAATTGCATATCGTTGTGTTCTTGCAACTATTTATTAAAAGAAAGTCAACATTTCAACATAAAAAATCTGGTGGTGCGCACAACACACAACTTTTACTTACCACCTTACTTTGAGTAAAAATAGGTCTTTTCATCATTTGATGTTTTAGTCTCTTAAGTCATTAGCGCCCGTAATAAAGCAATACTACTATTTTTTTTTTTTTTTTTTTTTTTTTTTTTTTTTTTTTTTTTTTTTTTTTTTTTTATAAATTTCTTTATTGAGTATTATAACAATCTGTCTGTTGGACATTAGTTATAGTGAGGTAGGATGACATTCACACTATATGTACAAAAAAATAAAATAAATAACAAAATAATAATCAAAAGTATATACAATAGACAATAAAATAAAATAACCTAAAAAATAAGAAAATTAAAACTAAGAAAAAAAAAACACATGCATACCTATATACAATCAGGCGAGGGAACTCCAGGAGAACCCTGCGCTACTCTCCCAACCGCGTCACTGGTACTAAAGCCAGCGGAGATTGGTCGAGAGCACTTTAGCCACATACACACATGTCTTGAGTGAAGAATCTGGCCATTGCCAGAACTCCAATTTATATAATCTACAAAAGGTCGCGAGGCCACTGCCGTTTCAACCTTCTTGGAGGATTATAGGGATGGGAGATGCTTGATAGGGATTGTGCAAGAGGATTTGGGTGGTAAGTAAGGTTCTGGTGAAATTTGGAGAATTTTTCTGGGATAAGGTCTAGGACAAATGGGATGTTAAGGTCATGATGTAGGGTTTTGTTGGATACATAGAAAGGAGCATCGACTATTGTTCGAAGGACTTTAGACTGGAAGGATTGGATGCGCTTGATGTTAGAAAATTTTGCTGATCCCCACAGTTCTAGTCCGTAAGTCCAAATAGGTTTCAGTATTGTCTTGTAGATCAGTAGCTTGTTTTCAATGGAAAGTTTAGATTTTCTGCTTAGTAGTCGGTATAGTTGGCCGTATCGTCGGTTGAGTTCTTGTCTTTTGAGTCTAGTATGCGGGTTCCAAGTTAGTCTTCGGTCTAAATGAAAGCCAAGATACCGGACTGTGTCTGAATAAGGAAGCTGGATGGAATTAAAGAGTACTGGTGGACAGGAATTGCGTCGGAGTGTAAAGGTAATATGTTGGCATTTAGATTCATTAACTTTAATGCGCCAGTTATTACACCAGTGCTCAATCAAGGTGAGGTGACTTTGGAGATTTAAGGATGCTATTTCGGGATCAGAGTTGGATGATAAGATTGCGGTGTCGTCAGCGAATGTTGCAAGAAAAGTATCGGGATGAACAGGGATGTCAGCAGTAAAGAGGATGTAAAGCACGGGACCCAAGACGCTGCCTTGGGGAACACCGGCTTTAACGGAGTAGATATTGGAAAATTCTGTTCCACAGCGAACTCGAAAGGAGCGGTCAGAGAGGTAGGATCGGAGGACTAGGTACAAGGACTGAGGTAAATGGATTTTAAGCTTGGAGAGCAGTCCGGAGTGCCATACCCGGTCAAATGCCTGTGCAATGTCCAGAAAGGCACCCGAACAGTATTCCTTGTTTTCTAGGGCTGAGGAAATATGATCAACAACTCGGAGTCCTTGTTGAACAGTAGAATGTTGAGAGCGAAAACCAAACTGATGGGAAGGGATATTTTGGGATTCTATAATGGGTAGGATTCGTTTCAAAAGGATCTTTTCAAAAATTTTTGAAAGGATTGGGAGTAGGCTGATTGGTCTATAGGATGTTGAGCTATTGAGAGGTTTTCCTGGTTTTGGGAAAAGGATAATAGTGGAGTGTTTCCATAACAGAGGGAAGTGGGTGGTGCGTAGGATACAATTGTAGATATATGTAAGGAATATGACTGCTTTGGATGGAAGTTGTCGAAGGATTTGAGGTGTAAGGAGATCATGTCCAGGAGCTTTACGGGGATTAGTTTTTTTAATTGAAATTTTACTTCGGAAGGATGAATAGCTTTTGGGGGCAAGGAAAGTGGGATTGGTGATGTAAGGAGTTCTTCTACTGTTACGGTGTGGGCAGGATGGGATTCCGGATGTGAAATAAATGTATTGGATAGGTGAATGGCGAACTCCTCAGCTTTATCTTCGTCAGATGCTGCCCAGGAGCCATCACCTCGTCGGAGAGGATGGGAAATGCGGTGAGGATTTAGGATTTTTGTTGTGGTTTTCCAAAGGGAATTGTCGCGAGAAGAGAGGGAGGATAGGTAGGAGTTGAAGGATTGTGATCTGAAGGTGGCTAATTCCAGTTTTAATTGTTTGCAGTAGTAATTATAGGAGCAGCGGTCGGTAGGATGTCGGGTACGTTGCCATAATAATCTGGCACGGCGTTTGGTGCGGATTAGGTTAAGGAGGTGTTGGGGTAGAATGGTCTTTATAGGAATTCTGGAGGAGTCTTTTGGGAAGGAGGCAGTCCAGGCGGCTTGTTGGATTGTGGTAGTAAAGGAATTTACGGCACTATCAAGGTCATCGGGAGTTTTGAGGGATATGTTGAGATCAATATTATCGGAGATTATTTGGCGGAAAAGGTCCCAGTTTACTGGGCCCCTAATGAATGACGGTGGAGAAGGTTTGGGAACAGGTTCAAGTGAAACATTAAGGATTAGAGGACTATGGTCAGAGGAAAGTTCATTTAGACGTGTAATGGAACAATTGAGGGGACTTAAGCCGCTGTGGATAAAGAAATCAAGAAGATCAGGATTACGGTTGGGATCTGTGGGCCAGTAGGTAGGAGAGTTGGGGGAAAGGAGGTGAAAACGTTGGGAATTGAGTGCAGACAGCAGGGTTCGGCCACGAGAATTCGTGGTTCTGGAACCCCATTGTTGGTGCTTGGCATTTAGGTCTGCACCCAAGATGAAGTGATGTCCTAAGGAGTCGAGGAGAGAACTGAATTGGGCATTGGATATGGATCGGTTAGGAGGGCAATACGCTGATGCAAGAGTGACCGGAAAGGAGAAGGTTTTTATCACGATAGCGGTGGACTGTAGGAAATCATGTATTGGTAATGGGAGTACGTGATGGGAGAGGGATTGGTGTACAATTACAGCAGTACCGGCATGTGCTTTTCCGTCAGGGTGGTCAGTACGATATGTCAGGTATTGTGGTATATTGAAGTGCTGTTTAGTGGTTAGTCGAGTTTCAGTAATTAGTGCCACATCAATGTTCTTGTCAAGTAGTAAAGTAGATAGTTCGTCTGTATGATTTCTAACACCATTCGCATTCCAAAGGAGAATGGATATGGGTTTAGGGATGTGAGTCATTTAAGGATTTTTCAAAGGAGGGATGAGGTGAGATACGAGATTCGTGAGGAGTGATATGAGTGGAGTAACAAGGGATTTGAAATCGGTGAGGAAAGATGCTAACAAACTTGTGAGATCTGTTGCATTTGAAGGAGGAGGAATATGAGGAATTTGTTGTTGGTGGTTAGGTATATTAGGATGAAGAGGATTTTGAGGTTGGGGTTGAGGTTGTTGTTGTGGCAGGGCTTGACATTTATCGGTTAAAGTCTTACCTCTAAGTAGTTGGGAGAATGATACATCATTGTTTACAATTCTGGAAGGCTCTCTCTCTCTTCTTGTTCTTAGTGCTTCATCTTGAATCCGGTTTTTCTGGTGTCTGGTTTTGAGATTCTTGTAAATTTGGCAGCCTTTGTAGTTGGCCGGGTGTCCCTCCAAGCATAGGGCACATACTGCTGGATCTTGTATAGGTTTGGTGCACTCTACAGATTTGTGCTGTTCACCGCACTTCACGCAACGCGGCAGATGGTGGCAATATGTCTTCGTGTGGCCATAGGTCTGACAATTATGGCACTGCACGATGTCTCTCTTGGGGTATGGCTTCTCAACTTTCACCATTGTGTAGTATATTCTTGTGATATCATATAT